AGGTAGTGTGAGGCCTCCTACTTTGTTCTTTTTAAATAAAGCCTTACTTATTCGGGACCTCTTTACCTTCCATATAAAGTTAGTGATTAGTTTTTCCATCTTGGTGAAGAATGCTGTTGGGATTTGGATCTGGATTGCATTATATCTATACATCGCTTTGAGTTGTATTGACATTTTCACAATGTTAAGTCTCATATCAAAGAGCAAGGTATGTTTTTCCATTTATGTAGGTCTCTTTTGGATTCTTGAAGTAGTGTTTTGTAGTTTTCTTTGTATAAGTCTTTTATGACCCTGGTTAGATTTATTCCTGAGTATTTTATCTTTTGGGGCCGGGGGGGCTATTATAAGTGGTATTGTTTTCCCGATTTCCTTTTCACAGTTCTCTTTGCTGATGTAGAGGAATTCAGCTGATTTTTGTATGTTAATTTTGTATCTTGCCACTTTGCTGAATGCTTCTATTAGTTCCAATAGCTTTCTTGTGGGGCCCTTAGGATTTTCTATGTATAGGATCATATAATCTCTGAATAGGGACAGTTTTACTCTTCCTTATCAATGTGGATATCCTTTATTTCCTTTTATTGCCTTATTGCTCTCGCCAAGACTTCCAACACAATGTTGAATAAGAGTGGTGATAAACCGCATCCTTCTCTGCTTCCTGTTCTCAGGGGGAATGCTTTCAGATTCTCTCTGTTTCCATCCTTCATCTTGTATCTCATTTTATACCTTCTCCAGAGGTTCTCAATCTCTGTGCCTTTCTTGTTCAGAAAAATGCAGGGCTTTTTCAGTATTATCTTAATTTTGTATACCAACTATTTAACTGACTTAAGATAAGTAATATGCCTTTTCTCTAAGGGTGAAGATTTTATATATTTGTGGTCAAATAAAATTTAAAAAGAAAGAGGTACTGTGCTTATCAAGTGCTATTCTTCCTAGAAAAAAACGAAAACAAAAACCAGTTGCCGTAGGCTCAATTACGACTCATGGCAATTCTATTTTCCCTAGAGGCAGTAGGAAATCAGAAAATGCCACTAACTATTTTTAATCTGCTACATTTCCATAGGAACAACTGTGAGGATGGCACAGGACCAGGCAGTGTTTTGCTCTGTTGTACATAGGGTCGCTATGAATCAGAACTGACTTGATGGCACCTAACAACAACACCACGTTTATTAATTATTTTAAACCATAGAATTGTTGGGTTCCTAAAAGCTTGAAAGTGTAATATCCTCAGCTGTGTACTGTGCTTTGCCAACTGTGTCCCAAAGCAAATTTGACCACATCCGAAACTATCAAATTCAGTTTTAAACTGTTTTATCATTTTTATGTTATCACACTTTGCCTCAAACATTGTCAAATCTCTCCCTGTAAATTATGTTTTTTTTTTTCAAAGACAGGAAGAGTTGCTTCATCTTTACTGAAATCTTGGAGGTAGTTTTTCTTGAAATCTTCACTTGGTCTGGAAAAGTAAGTGCAGTTCTAGGGTTTAAATTCTCCCCCCCCCCCCAGGAGACTTGTGCCTGACCTCCAAATGGTCAAAGAATTTTAAAATTCTAGATCCTCAAAGTATCATTTGTCATTACTTCCAGCTTAGTTTATTTTCCACTTTCTGATAGTTTCTCTTCAATAATTGTTTCTGAAGATCCTTTACCATCATTTTCTGTGATATTATAACTAGACTCATGGTCAATAAAGCTTTCAAAAAATGAACATAGGAAGAAATCTTGAGTTTATTTAACTCACTATCACCTCCATCATTTCTAATAGTCAGTAAAGTAGGAAATAGAAGGCATGGGTCATGGAGCATAAATTCACACACATAGGGAGTAACTTACATCTTTTTTGTTACTTTTATCTCTCCGCATTCTCTTTCTTTCTTACCTTTTTCCTCTTATCACTTTTCTTTACTGTCTGGCATTTTTCTTTATTCTCATATCAAATCATGAAATACATTAGTTGAATTTCGTGAGCAACTATGTGGCATTAATAATATATTGCATTACCTGGAATTCATTTGGCAGGGTAAAAAAATCCCTATTGTTTAGTTTTTGGAATTGATTTCTATTTTATAAATGCTTATTGCCAAAAGTTAGCAAAATCTGGAAATATATAACATTTGAGAATCACATCAAAAGTCAATATTGGAAGATAACATTTTATTCATTAGTGATGTAACGCCATACTAAGTATATGTGTGTGTGTATACATATATTATCTTTTATTTTTCTCAACCTTATGTAATAAGTGATGGAGCCCATATCCAACCAACATCTGTATTATCATAGGCTTTTGAAAGTCATTAAAATCTTTAAAACTATTTGACTGTTTCATAGGACAAAAGATTTTCTGAGCTGGGAGTTGTGAATATGATCTCAAGATATACCATATAAGTGTAAGATAAATTTCATTTTCTTTTGTTTATAAAAAATTCTCATATAATTCTCTAAATAGACAGACACTTACTTTATTGTGCTTTAAGTGAAAGCTAACGGTTCAAGTTAGTTTCTCATACAAAAATTTATACACACACTGTTATGTGACCCTAGTTGTTCTCCCTATCATGTGACAGCACACTCCTCCTTTCCACCCCAGATTCCCCGTGTCCATTTAACCAGCTCCTGTCCCTGTCTGTCTTCTCATCTTTCCTTTGGACAGGAGCTGTCCATTTAGTTTCATATATCTACTTAAGCTAAGAAGCACACTCTTCACGAGTATCATTTTATGTCATATAGTCCAGTCTAATCTTTGTCTGAAGAGTTGGCTTTGGGAATGGTTTTAGTTTTGGGCCAACAGACAGCCCGTGGGCCATGTCTTCCAGGGTCCCTCCAGTCTCAGTCAGACCATTAAATCTGGTCTTTTTAGTAGAATTTGAGTTCTGCACCCCACTTTTTTTCTGCTCCAGCAAGGACTCTCTGTTGTGTTCCCTCTCAGGGTGGTCATTGATGATAGCCAAGCACCATCTAGTTCTTCTGGAGACAAACGCTTTATTTACATGATGAAAATATGGTATTTTAGATTTACATCAACATCATACTAACTGGAAAGTATTTAGAAGCATGTGCATTGAAATCAGGAACAAATATAGTATTTTTAAGATCAACTTTATTATAGTTCTTTAAACAATATAAGACACTAAGCTGAGCAGAATGAAAATACAAATAATCTAGGTTAGATTCCAGTGATATTAGTTAATACTTATGTAAAGCTTATAGCTAATATTTATGTAGTACTTCTATTTGCAGACACTGTCCCAAGTGATTTACATATGTAACTCAATTGTTCCTCTCAAGAAATACTATAAGCCTACCATGATCTCTATTTTACAGGTAAAAAAAAAACCAAAGCACAGGGAAGTTAAGTAACTGTTCCAGGGTCACACAGCTAATAAGTTCCAGAGTTTGGCTTCAAACCTTTGCACTGTGACTCCAGACTTCCCATTCTCAACCAATATGTTCACCATCCCCTCCAGTATGTTTACCATCCCCTCCAGAGGGTGGGCCATTTAGTTTCTGGTTGGAACTGGAAAGTTACCAGGGTCTGAGCCAGAATTTCTCTCCATTATCCCCAGGATGTCCATTGTTTCTCTTGCACAAACTCCTTTATGAATGTCTAAATTATTCTTTCCTCTCATTCTGTAAAATGTATTTCTAAGCTTCTCCATGCACTTGGCAGAATATGAACACCACAATTAAAATTCCAAAATCCCCCCTAATTGTCATCTTAAAGTCTTATTTCCAAATTACATGGGTGGGAGGGACACACAGGGATGGAGTAAGATGTTCATTGGACTGTCTTCTGTCATGTCTTCTCCTGACCACATCAGCTTTGACAGTATAAGTTAGACTGCAGGGCCCCATCATATTATTTGTGAGAAAGAGCTCAGTTCTTAGAGAGGGGGGGGTGTTCTCTGGACAGATATTCCAAAGATGCCTTTTCAACTTAGAGATCTGAATTAAGTGCAGCTGATGAAAATCACAAGAAGGCAAATTTCAGCTTTTGGAAGAGTAACTTATTATCATAGTTAAGCAGGATGTAAAAGGAAAAAATGAGGGCCTTCTTATTCCCAGAGGCACTCACTGTCGACTAGATCAGTGCTTCTCAAACTGTAATCTGTATATGAATCACCTAGGCTAGAGGAGTAAATTGTGTCCCCCAAAATGTATGTCCAGCTGGAACCTCAGAATGTGACCCTATTAAAAAATACAGTCTTGGCAGATGTAGTTAATTAAGGATCTCAAGATGAAACAATTCTGGATTTAGGGTTGACTTTAAATCCAATGAATGTTGTCTTTATGAGAAGAGAAGAGGACATAGAGACACAGAGTGAAGAGAGCCACGTGAAGATGGAGGCAGAGATTGGAGTGACGTGTCTACAAGCCAAGGAACACCAAGGATTGCTGGCAACCACCAGAAGCTAGGAGAGAGCCTTCAGAAGGAACTAATCCTACAGATACTCTGATTTTGAACTTCTGGCCTCCTGAAATGTGAGAGAATAAATTTTTGTTGTTTTAAGTCACCCAGTTTGTGATAATATATTACCTAGGAAAAATCACCAAGGTAATTTGGCATCCCTAGGAAACTAATACACCTGGGAACTTGTTTTAATGGAGATCTGTATTCAATAGGGTCAGTCTACTGATCCTGCATTTTTAACAAGCTTTCAGGTGAGGCTGTTGCTTCTAGTCCATGGATCACACTCTGAGGAGCAAGGAGCAGTTGACTCTGTCTCAGAGAAATGTATGCAGAAAGAGTGCTGGCTTTATGAGGAAGGTTATGATTAAGGATTAGTTTACTAACTTGGAAGGGAGGACAGAGGCAGAAAGAATAACTGCATTAGTAATTCTCTGAATGTTCAGCTGAACCTGATCTATTCACAAGATACAGGCTTTCATTTATTTTATGTGTAAAATACAATACTTGTATTTATGCTTATTATGTGAAAATTATCTGTAGTAGTGCTGCTGATTGATGATGGCAATTCATCTGTAAAGTATTGTTCTTCTTGTCACTTTCTTGACAGTCACACTAGCTATATGGAACCAAAAAACCACACACAAGTTTCAGAATTTATTCTTCTTGGACTCTCAGAATTGGAAGAACTGCAATCTTTTCTTCTTGGACTGGTCCTGTTCATGTACTTGGTCACCTTTATTGGGAACTTTCTCATCATCTTGACCATCATCACTGGCTCCCTTCTCCACACTCCCATGTACTTCTTCCTCTGCAACCTTTCCTTTGTAGATATATGTTTCACCTCCACCACTGTCCCAAAGATGCTGCTGAACATCCACACCCATAATAAAGCCATCACCTATCAAGGCTGCATCGCCCAAATATATTTTTTCAACCTTTTTGCAGAGTTGGATGTTTTTCTCCTTTCTATAATGGCTTATGACTGGTTTGTGGCCATCTGTCACCCACTGCACTACACGGTCATCATGAACCCCAGACTCTGCAGCTTGCTACTGCTGTCGTCCTGGATATTGAATGTTCTGGACTCTCTGCTACGTAGTTTACTGGTGTTGCGGCTGTCCTTCTGTAGTAACTTGGAGATTCCCCACTTCTTCTGTGAAATCAGTCAGGTTATCCAACTTGCCTGTTCTGACACCCTCCTCAGTATCATAGAGATGTATCTTGCAACTATGGTGATGGGCATTATTCCCCTCACTGGTATTGTATTTTCTTATTCTCGGATTGTTTCTTCCATGCTGAGAATCACATCAGCAAAGGGGAAGTATAAGGCATTTTCCACTTGTGGATCTCACCTTTCAGTTGTTTGTTTGTTTTATGGTACAGGTTTTGGGGTCTACCTCAGTTCTGCCACTACCCAAAATTCCAGGGCCAGTGCAATAGCCTCAGTGATGTACAGCATCGTCACACCCATGCTGAATCCCTTTATCTACAGCCTGAGGAACAAGGACGTAAAAAGAGCCCTGAAAAATCTTGTTGAGATTGTCACTTTAAATGAGTGACAAAAATATTTGCCTTGGAGCTGGGCAAGAATCCACGAGTAACCGGGAACCAGATTGACATTCAGAAATCCTAATTTTTTTGTGCTCAAGTCTCTGACTCTCCAGACATTTCTGACATTTTATGTTTTTACTTTCCTAGAAGTAATTTTCAAGTTTGGAACAGAACTAATTTGAGAATATCCACTTGTTTCAAGTGGTAATGGTTATTTCTAAAAATATACTGTCTTCAAGTTCATTTTCTTTTTCATGGTAAAATTATGATAATGCATAAACATCTTATGGAGATAATAAAGACTTGGAGCTTAAATGTTTGTTCATGATTTACTCTGTATTAACATTCTGAGGTCCTTTATTAGACTTGAGTCACCTTTTCCTTTCTGTATCCCTGTCTTCATAATTTAGACTATAATATACTTATTTTATAAGTTGTCTGAGATATTTTAGTTCTCTCACTGAGAGACTTTTCTCTTATTCATCAATGCCTAGTATGACAATTAACTTATTTAAAATTGAATGGTAATTAAAAACAACATGAAATTTTGTGAGATGTAGCTAAAGAAGTGCTTTGAAGGAAATTTATAGCTTTAAAGATTAATATTAGAAAAAGAAGAAAGGTCTAAATCGATGATCTAAGTTTCTACCTTAAGAAGCTAAGAACAAAGTATAACATGAACGCAAAGTAGGTACTAGGAAGGAAATAATATATATAACAAAGAAATCAATGATAAAAGAAAAAATGATAACAAAAAGCCTTAATTAGATTCCTTGAAAATACTAATAAATAAACAAATCCTAAAAAAGGAGGATCAAGTAAAAAATGGGAAAAACACCAATTACTACAAATTAATGAGATCACTAAAAATGCCCAGATATTAAAATAACAATAATAAATTACTATAAACATTATGCCAATAAATTTGACACCTTATATGAAATAAACACATTCCTTGAACAACAAAATCTAGTAAAACTAACTCAAGAAGAAATAGAAACTCTGAATAGCTCTGAACTTATTTTTTAAATTGCATTTGTAAACCCAAACTAGCCCATGAAGAAAAATTCTGGACCAGATGATTTTACTGATGAAGTCTATCAAACATATAAGGCAAAAATAATGCTAATCTTATACAAACTCTTTTAGAAACTGGAGGAAGAAAGAACTCTTTTCTTCTCATTTTATAAGACCAGCATAACCTTGACAGCAAAAACCCACGAAAAGTATTTTAAAAAAATTGCAAATCAATATCGCTAATGAACATAGATGCAACAAATCTCAACAAAATTTTAACTGATACCAAAAATACATAAATGCAAAGTTGACTCAACATTTCAAAATCAAAGTAATCCATCATAACAACAGACCAAAACAGAAAGCCATGTGATCATCTCAATACATGCAGAAACAGCATTTGACAAAATTCAACTCTAAACCAACTAGGAATAGAAAGGAACTTTCTCAACCTGATCAATAGCATCTACATCATATTTAATGGTGAAAGACTGAATATTTCCCCCCCTAAGATTGCTACGGAACCCTGGTGGAGTCGTGGTTAAGAGTTACAGCTGCTAACCAAAACGTCAGCAGTTTGAATCCACCAAGTGCTCTTTGGAAAATCTATGGGGCAGTTCTACTCTGTCCTATATGGTCGCTATGAGTCGGAATCAACTCGACGGCAAAGGATTTAGGTTTTTTTTCTTTAAGATCATAAACAAAGAAAGAAACAAACGTCTGCTCTCATGACTTCTTTTCAACATTATATTGGAGGTACAATAAAATAAAAGATATAAAGAGTTGAAAGGAAGAAATAAAACTATTTGCAGACAATATCGTTGTATACACTGTCTAAAGCAATGTATAAAAAATAACTTCTAGAATTAATACACAAATTTAGCAAGGTTGCAGGTCACAAGATTAATATACAAAAATAAATTATATTTCTATATACTGGTAACAAACTAGAGCCCTGGTGGCGCAGTTGTTAAGAGCTTGGCTGCTAACAAAATGTTGGCAGTTCAAATCCAACAGCTGTTTCTTGGAAACACTAGAGGCAGTTCTACTCTGTCTTGAGGGTTGCGATGAGTCAGAATCAACTTGACCGCAATGAGTTTGGTAACAAATTGGAAAATTAAAATTTAAAAATAGTATTTATAACATCAAAATACCTGGGAATAAATATTTAAAATGCATGCAAATTCTTTACACTAAAAACTATAAAGTATTCATGAGAGAAATTTATGAAAACTGAAATATAAAGAAATATATACCATGTCTATGGCTTGGAAGGTGTAATATTGTTAGGATGTCAATTCTCCCCCAAAATGACCTATCACAATCAATACAATGCCAAACCAAATTCTGACAGACATTTTTGTCGAAATTGATATTTCCAAAATTTACATGCAAATAATCTAGATTAACAAAAAAATTGGAAAAATGAAAAGCAGAGTCTTATATAACCTAATTCAAGAACTATTATAAAATTGGGTGGAGCCAAGATAGTGGCTTAGTCACACACACCATAACGTCTCCCTGCACCAAAGACTCAAAAAAACAAGCAAAACAGAATCACGTAACAATCTGGGAAAACTGAATATCAAAAAAGGAAGTCTAAGGACTGAATCTAACACTAACTGGAAGGAATAAAGGAAGCAGCGAAAGAAGAGTGTCATGGTTTGAATTATGTCCCCCCAAAAATGTGTATATCCGTTTGGCTGGGCCATGATTCCTGGTACTGTGTGATTTTCCTATATGTTGTAAACCCTGCCTCTATGATGTTAATAAGGGAGGATGGGTGGCAGTTGTGTTAGTAAGGCAGGACCTGATCTACAAGACTGGATTGTGTCCTGAGGCAATCTCTTGAGATATAAAAGACAGAAGTGAGCAGTGAGACAGGGGGACCTCATACCATCAAGAAAGCAGTGCCAGGAGCAGATCGCGTCCTTTGGACCGGGGTCCCTGCGCCGAGAAGCTCCTAGTCTGGGGGAACACTGATGAGAAGGCCGACAGAGAGAGAAAGACTTCCCCTGGAGCTGACACCCTGAATTTGGACTTTTAGCCTACTTTGACTGTGAGGAAATAAACTTCTCTTTGTTAAAGCCATCCACATGTGGTATTTCTGTTATAGCAGCACTAGATGACTAAGACAAGGAGTAACAGAAAAGAGGAGCTCAGCCAGCTTTTTCGGCTCGCCACGGCTAACTTAGGACAAAGATAGCAGCAACCTTAGATGAAGAAAACAGAAAGATAACTTCATGACTTGCCTAAAAGGGACACAGAACATCTATAGACACACAGAGAAAGAAACAGAGACAGGGAGAGTGCCAGATCCAGAATCGGAGATACTCAGGAGTGGCGGCCCTTGACCTCAGGGGTGAGTGGTGTGCACGAGGCAGCAGACCCACGAAGTGTCGGTGAGAACTCTCTCACCCACCCACTCCTCGGGTGTCCCTCCCTCCTTGCACTTGAGAAAGGACAGGTCCTGCTCACTAGCTGCAGTGATTGCAAGGTCACCTGGCACCCACATATGCTAGATGGAGGAAAGCACTTCCCCTCAACCCATTCACCTGATTAGAGGCAGCAGAGGGTCCTATACCCCAATCACCTTGCCTGACTGGGGGACCATAACATTAGCCTATCTTCTTCTCACTACCCCACCCAACCCTGTACAGTGCTCCCCCTTGCCCACCTGTTGAGCAAGATTAGGCATGCCCTCATGCATGTGCCTGCCCACCACTTACTCCCACACCAAGGGCCTGGTGGAGGGCAGTGGTAGTGGGGCAGTGAAAGAGGTCACCCAGAACTCCCTCCACCTTCCTCCCATCCAACACAAAGCAGCATTTCTGTGTACATCTTCCAGGGGTGATGCAATCCCTAAACCTGCCCAGGGAGGGGTAGAAGAGCCGTGTATCCCCTCATAGCCCCTTCCTCCCTCCCCTCACATGATTCAAGGGGGCACCATTGGGCTCACATCCACCAGGCAGGACTCTCTTAATCTGCCCAGGAAGGGGCAGAGGAACCATGACTGCACACATCCCACTGCAGCCCCTTCCTCCCTCCCCTGCCACCAACTGATGCAAGGTGGCACCATTAAGCTTGCATTCACTAGGCACGTGTCTCTTCCTTAACCTGTCCAACAAGGGGCAGGGGAGCTGTGACTGCCCACATCTCCCTGCAGTCCCTTCCTACCTCCTCCCACCTGACATAAGGTGTCACCATTATGCATGCATCCAACAGGTGTGGTTCCATTCTTTAACCCACCCAGTGAGGGGCAGAGGAAACCCAACTGCGTGCATATCCCCCAGCAGCACTTTCCTCCATCCCCTTGCCTGATGCGAGGAAGCACCTCTGTGTGCACATCAGCCAGACGTGACTCTGTCCCTTAACCCTCCTATCAAGGGACAAGGGAGCTGTGACTGTGCACATCTCCCCACAGACCTTTCCTCCCTTCCCCCACCAGATATGAGGTGTCACCACTGTGCGTGCATTCACCATTCACAACTGCATCCTTTAACCCACACAGAAAGGGGCAGAGGAGCTATGATTATGTGCACATCCCCACTGAGGCCCTTCCTCTTGCCCCTTGCCCAGTGTAGAGCAGAAGAGTGAGTGCACCGGTACCCATATGCTGTATCTTCCTCCTCTTGTCACCACCACCAGACAGATGCAGTGAGACTGATCAGACATCCAACAGCCATTCCTTCCTCCCTTCACCTGCCTAGGAGAAGGTGCAGGTAGAGCAATTCTATGAACATCCCCCACCACACCCCTCCTTCTGTGACCCACATATCCCCTCTTAAGCAGCAAAAGGTGATGAGCACACCCTCACTTGCCCACCACACTCACCACATCAGCTGCTCCACCTGCACAGAGAGCATCATTCCCTGATCCTGAGCCACACCTACCTGCCACTCCAGTCTCCCAAAGATAGGTAGGGAGTATTCCAGCATGACAGTCCAGTGACCAGAGCACCACTTCAGCCACACCTGCCAGGAATCAACAA